GAGGACTCGAAGAGGGAGGACCGGCGGGAGTGATCTGATTCGGCGGAGCAGAAACCAAATGGGAGTGATCTGATTCGTCGGAGCAGAAACCAAAATCTTAATCTCCATTCTCAAGAACTCTCCTCCTAGGGTTTTACAATGCTTCTCCTCCCCACTTTTCTCCGCCCCCTTCCCATTTTCCGTTGCGGGATCTCACTAGGACGTGGATCCAAACCATCCTCAAGGTTCGATCCGCCTCCTTCAGATGTTTCTTCCATCGCTCGTGAATTGTTGATGGTAAGTAGCTCGCGGGTTATGATTATACGAATCATTTGCGTTCCACGTTGATCTTCTTGCAACTCAAGATTGTTGTAAATTTGCTGGTCATCTTTGTTGTGGTTAGTTATAGGAATTCTTGATCGGCGATGTTCTTCTTGCAACTCAAGATTCTTGGGGCCTGCTTCGGTTCGTCCCCTGGAGGTTCACCGTAGGAAATTGCTTGTAAGAAACTTTTTTGGGATCAATAATTGATCGTAGTTCGTTATAGGAATTCTTGATCGCTATGTGCTGTTTCCTTCGAACTGATCAATGATGACCTTCTTGCAACTCGAGATGCTTGGGGCTTGCTTCCGTTTTCATCCGCTGTAGTTCGTTATAGGAATTTGCTTGTAAGAAAGTTTTAGGGCTCAAGAAATCTTGATCTTGTAATTAAAGAATCTTGGATTTCACTTGCGGAAAAAGAAAAATTAGGGTTTCGATGATTGTTATGCTTACCCTTCCTCCGAGAAGTAGATGTTGGATTAGCGGTTGGAGAAAAGCTAGGTGCTATAAGGTTTTGTTTATTCTTGCATAGAAATGGAAATAAAACAAGAACATTGGACTACATGAAATGTCATGGATTATGGATTACTGAGATATATGAAAAATGCTTGTTATTTTTGTGAGAATGAATAAAGAAATTACATATTGATTATACCAGAATAAGTTCAACTGGGTTGAGGAATGGATCTTATAAGTGGAAGTAGACTTGGAGAACAATCACAGAATTGTGAAGATGGGCTTCGTATCAAGAGACATATTGGGATTGATGTGACTTATTTGTGATGTTATTATGAGGCTTAAAATTCCTTAGACTTGTCTGCTTATACAGACTGATTTGCAGTGATAACAATGACAAACTAATTTCCATGAGGAGATTAAACTAGTCTTTAAGCTATGCCTCCTTTATTCAAGATTTAAGAACATTGTGGTGTTGACTTGTTTATGTCTAATCCTATTAAAAAATTGATAGATCATTGTATACCCTTTATTCATTTCTATAACCTCTGTAGTCGGAGGAAATGATTATTAAAACAAGAGACTTTATTTTAGTGTCTCAACTAAAGAATGTCAATGTGCTCATTCTTAAATTCTTTCTTTATGATATTACATTGCACTGCATTTAAAATGCTTTAAAACTCATATAGGATCATTTAATGTTTCAAGACAATTTTTTCTGTTGTTCACCTTTCTGAAATCTGACCTCCTATCTGTATTCATGCCCCAGTGGGCTTGCCAATCTTTTCTCGAATGCCTAAAACTCATATAAGATAGTTGCCATCGTTAGTATGGTGGGCATAGTAATGACATTCTTCATTAGAACACTATGCATATTCATAAATGCTCTCCTTTCTGTTTTTACTGGATTTTATATGATAGCTTTTGCTAACATTGGCTATAAGTAACTTTGAGTTCTGTCACTTGCCATTCATTTGCAGTATCCTATTATCCATATTGCTTATATATTGTATGCTATGGATTTACAGAAGGGTAAAATTCAGAAGTCGTCTCTTGCTATCTGCATCTTAATGGCATAACTGCTGTCTGGAGCTTTCGTTGTAGGCGATGGGTGTGATATGCATTTCCTCAGCTCCATGAAGGTCACAAATTAAGCAGGTAATTCTCTGCCTGCAATTTGAATTGTGGTAATATGATTAAAAGAAAATTTCAAAAATGGTTTATTTATGGATTCCAAAAGACAATTTTAGCATGGATCTACCTATACATAATATTTACAAAAATACATCTCCTGTTCAGGAATATCAACATTTTAGAAATATTTGTTTAAGAATTTGCACCTTCTTTTGATTTTTCTTTGAAGTAAAACATATCCTTCCTTTTTTTTTTTCTCGTTTGGTTTGTTTGTCAAGTAGAAGGGACGTGTTCACCTCAACCTACAAATACAATTGAATGGAACAGTCATGAGCTAAACAAAAAAAAAGCCACGCATCAATGGACGATATAATAGACTAACCATCATGAACATCGAACCCTGAGGTCTGTTGTGGCAATGGGGCACTTGGATCTGATCTATCCCTGTATAAATGGCATCCGCTGAAGATTCCAGTTCTGTGAGGACATTTCTATAGAATTCTTCATGGGCATCGGGTAGAATAGCAGGAACTGCAGCCTGTTCCAAGATTTCACAGGTGTAATGATGGGTACTGAGCTTGCTATAACATGTTTGATGAAATGATCAGTGAGAAGCTGCTCCCGCGTTAACAGTCAAGAGCATCTCAGTTGCCGTCCTTACCTGTCCCAGTGACAAGGAACCAAAGGACAAAGAGGTCAGCGACGCAGTGTGTAACTCTGGGATTAATCTCTAAGTGTTTGAATCCCTTACGTGCATCAGAATCCCACAGGGATCGCACATGGCTACCCATCCGAGACGCCAACCGCTTCGACAGTGATCCGATGGTGATAACCGGCGACAAGTGAGCGAACGAGGCCATGGGAACGAAAGCTGCTTCCGCCAAAGACGAAAGCTCGTACGTTCTCGCCGGCGTGGTGCAGATCTGATGTGTCATCAGCATCTGATGATGTTACAGCCTTTGGATCACGTTATAGTATATACATAGTCTACAGTGTTATGAGCTAATTACAAATTATCTAATTAATCAGACCTTGTTAACATCCTGATTTCTAAAATTAAAAAATTTATATTGTAATCTTTAAAATATCTAATTTTATTTATCCAATTATACAATGAAAATAAAGGATACAAAGATAATCTTAACGTTTTAGTTGATGATGATAGACGATATTGGTGGCGAACGATGATATCGTTGGGATTGCGGGTGGCTATTATGAATGAGGAGAGTGATGGTGAAAAATGAGGGCCACTTTGTATTTGCATCGACACCGACGCAATTATCAAGCGATCCTTTTATTGCTTTGAAGATGCAAAGTGACATAGCTTATCAATTGCATCAACGTCGATACAGATGTAGAGTAGCATCGCTCTGCATCTATATCAGCAGTTCGACAACTGCATCAACACTAACGTAGATGCCAATCGATGTAAGGGTCGTTCGAGTAGCTATTGTAGACGAAGAGAGTAGTAGTGAGAGGTGAGTGATGTTTTATATTTGTATCAATAACCCTTTCATCGCTAGACAATTACATCGACGCTGACGTAGATGCAGAGCGACGAAAGGGTTGCTTGGCATTTGCATCGACATCAACACAGATGTAAAGCAGTCCTTACCTCTTGTCGCTGCTCTTCTCATCTACAATAGTCACCTATAGCCCCCCAACAACATCTTCGTCTGTCACCATCGACAACATCTGTCATCATCAACTGAAATATTAAAATTATCTTTTTGTTCTTGCTTACCTACAATGTTAAAATAAAGCTATATGTTTTATTTTTATAAATATAAAAATTTTAATATAAATTTATTAAATGAAAATGCTAAAGAGGTCTAAGTAAAAGAAATCAAGTATGACTATCAACCATTTGTATTTACATGAACATTTGTATTTAGATAAAAACTACATGATTGATACGTGCCCAACCATTTGTATTTAGATACGTGCCAAACCATTTCTTACCAATCGATACATGAAAATTTCTTTGTATTTAGATACGTGCCCAACCATTTGTATTTAGATAAAAACTAAGGTTCCCAATTAATATGATTAAGTATATAAATCATCTCAACGGCATCAGATTTGGTTAAAAAAAGTTAGTACGTTTATCGTTTTGCTCCTTACTTACAGATGATTCTCATATATAGCATCAGATTTGGTTAAACAAAAGTCATGTTACTTACCAAAGGAGAGTTGGCCGAATGGGATTAAGAAAACTTCAAAAAAATCTAAATATAAAAAAAAAATCAATTGCTGTCTTGAAATAAGGCTAAAATCTTCATGGAGTAGAATTTTAAATTTAAAATCATTTTTATTCTTACGTGAGATCATTTAAAATTAGGAATAATTTTCTTCTTTTCAGCCTAGTTAACAAAAAAATTTAAAAATAATTACAAAAATCTCTTGTAAGATTATGGGAGAGAAAAACATATGATTAGAGAAATCTTCTCCCCCTCCACAAAGCTTAAGCTTCACATAACAATGGAGATAGATAAATGAATATGAATACAATTCACATGAACTATGTAAATTGAAATATAAATACAATTCACATACAGTTACTGATAATATATTCTTTTTTGTGTTTTACTGTTTTCAACTGCATCACATAATCGTAGCATACATAGGTAATAATAGACACACAATGTCAATAGTTCAGAGAGATTACACACGCCCTGTCGATGATTCAAAGCTTACAATAAATCCCTGTTCACTTTTAGTGCAATCTGTTACCTGCCATCCTCGCTGGAAGTGTTTGATATGCCAAAATTTGCAACCCCAACCAAGCAGACGGTTAATTTTAGTCGCGGAGGAAAGCATGTCACAGATACGAGGGCTCATGCCATCATAGTAACCCAACTTGTCAGTAATGTGAAAAGAAGCCATATAAAGAAAGCAGGCATATGCCACAGGAAGATCCAAAACTAGGAGAATGGCCGTTAGCATCAGTGCCAAGGCTTCCCTCCAAAATTTGTTCAGAACAGCATTCCTGCCAACAACTATACAAGAAACAAAAAGGAACGACTTGATGTATGAGCAGGTACTAAAGTGGGGAACAAAATCATATTTGTTACAGTACCGGAACCTTCATCAGCACTTCCAAGGCTTTTCCCCGGAAACTGCAGCAGGCAGCTTCAAGTTTGATCTCCTAGCTTTTCAGTAGAACATCAGGCACGGAAGCAGGATCGAGCTCCCAGTAGCCACGAAGCTTTCCTCCATTTTCATCTGTTAGCCTGAATGCAGGTATTTGATGAGAGAATCTAATATATTCATTTGTCGGTATCTCCAATTCGGTTGCTGCATTCGTATTTTCTTCAGGTTTAAAAACAGATGTATAGCCATTTACTTTTGTCAAAGGCTTAACTTTCAAGCCACAACCACTACGCTCACAAATCTCCACCACATCATATTCACACTTCTCCAGTTCTGGGAGGCCCCATCCAACACTCCAATTCTTGTACACCGCCCAAATTTCTCCACTGCTCGGATGGATTAGAAAATGGTTCCTTTTGCCAGTTTGTTCGGCCTGTACTAGATGAGAGAAAGTACTAGTCTCCTTAATTATCGAGCTTTGAGGAACAACCTTAAATGTTCCACAACCAATTGGGAAGCCTTCTCGAGACCACCGCCTCTCCTCCTCTAGCATTGGGCAGGCCTCAAGCCATGTAATATGCACTCTAAGCCCTTTTGGTTCCGGTTCGGTCCTCTTTACCAAACCATAGTACTTGGGATATGTATCTACATCACTATAGAATGCCCAAATGTGACCACACTGGACGGTTTCGATCATCTTGTGTTGTTCAAAATTATAAAATTCTGGATCAGGATAGTGATAGATGTCAGGGCTTAAAGATGGTACTGATGAGGAATCATCATCATCATCATCATCATCATCGTCATTGATCTTCTCTGCATCTGAGTCACCTCTCTCACTAATTTCTACTTTGGGTGTTTTTGCTTCATTCTGCACATGCTTCCAAGTTTTCACGTCCTGTCCTTCACTAATGTGATTTTGTTCCATATCATCAACTCGGTTTATCCCATTAGATAACATGTCTTGACTTGTCCTCTTCTCTCTTTCCTGCATTATACTGGTTACAGGTTCCTCTTTATCAATTGTGGCATTTAAAGATGAACTGCTGCTCCCACCCAACTTTCTAACTCTTGTTGTCTCATTGTCAAGATTAACAGAAGGAAACATCTGTCTAAAGTTACTGGGAAGTGATGCACAATCAAGTTCCAAAGAACCTTGAGGAATACCTTCTCTTTCAGTTCCACTCAACCTGTATGAAGGAACATTATGTGAAAAACAAAGGATTTCATGGGGTGGAATCACAAACGAGGTCATTCCCTTTCCCGTTGCTCGCATAAACAAGCTCACAGATTGTTCTATCCTTACCAAGGGAATCACACTAATGCCAGTTCCCGATGCAAAATCTGAGAGGACTTCTACTACTTCATATTCATGGAACCTATGCTTGTCTGCATCTGTGCTCCACCAGATATTCCAGCCCTTGAAAAGAGCCCAAACCTCACCTTTTCTAGGATATATAACATAGGAGTTTCTCTTTTCCCCTTTTCTCCATGAAACAACATGAGAGAACGTAAGACAATCTTTGGTGGATTCCGATTTGCCTAGTCTGAAGTTCCCACAAGCAACAGGCAACTCTGCATCAGACCATGTCAACTCAGTTTCATTTACAGGATCGTGCTCAAGCCAAGTAAAGCGCAGCAGGAAACCAGGGGTGCAGACCTTCCTAATTCGAGCATAGAATCGAGGCATCCCATCCTGATCATCATACACTGCCCATATCTGATCAACAGCAAATTGACTTGCATCTCTGAGTTTATCAAAGTTGCCAAATTCAGGATCAGGGTAAACAAAACATCCCATAGGAGGAAAGGCCTTAGGAATTGACCCAACAATTGATTCAGCTCCATGCCTGAACTTCTGATGTTCGCTAGTCCCTTGTTGACTTTCATAGGCCTGTTCATTTCCATTCGGCAACTTATTTTCATACATGATGTCATCTTCATTATTCAGTCTGGTTTTAGCAACACCTGTCCCGTCGTCTTCCAAATTAACACCTTCAGCACTGATTCTGCATGATGGTTCTTCAAACCTACCAGCTTTACAGGATGACTCATCTTTACATCTTTTACTAGGGGCTACAAAGGAATTGCCACCATTACCATCTTCCCTTCCATCTTCATTATAAGAGACATACTGCTTCTGCCTACTCGATCTTCGTGGGCCAGATGTAGAAGCATTCTGCTTTACAGGAGGCCCATCATCCACATTTTTTGTGTCTTCACTATCACTGCCATCTGCATCACTAAACTCTAAAACAACCTTTCTCCTCCTCTTCTTACTAGCATTAGTAGTTTTCGGCTTAGCAGCCTGCTGTCCCTTATCAACTTCAGTGACATTTACTGCATTAGCTGCCCCAACCTTAGCATCCACATGAATATTCTTTCCCATGTTTAAAGTTTCACCAACACAATCTTGGTTGAATACTGATCTTCCACAAGCATCCTCCTGAAACTTCATGTCAGAAGAGGTATTTCTAAATTGGCTTTGTTTATTTATATTATTAGCTTGCTCAACTGGAATCTTTTTCTCTAGATTTTTATTACTATTCCATGGGTTCCCAGCGGAAGGCACAACTTTGGCATTTAAATCATATGCAACAAAAGTATTCAAGCAATTCTGACAGCGCAGGGCTCTGTTTAAAATGCTTCGATAATACTGGTATCTCATTCCACAAACGGGGCAAATTGTCCAGAATGTCTGGGTAGAACTGAAAGGAGATGGCTGATTAAACCCACTAGAATTCACCGTCCTAAGATTGTTTTGGGCATGAGGATTCATCCTTGAATACTGAAAAGGCTTCATTGCAGGGGCACTTTTAATGTTAGCATTTCTTTTGAAGTCATAAAGGCGCCTTTTTTCTTGATCAGACAATACCATATGTGCTTCTCCAATTAGTTTGAAAGCGGCTTCAGCACCTGAAAACTTGTTCTTATCAGGATGTAGCAAAAGAGCAAGTTTCCGATATTGTTTCTTAATAGATAAATCATCAGATGTTGACTCCACTTGGAGAATTTTGTACCAATCCATTTCACCATTAACTCTAGCTCCAGCAGAGCAATGAACATCACAGACAGTTAACATCTGAGAGATGTTCTCAATGTCAGGAAAGAGCTGTTGGGCCTTAAGAGCAATCTTTTGTGCCCCCATAAAATCTTTGTTCTGCATCTTTTTCTCTGCAAGATGCTTGGCTCTAATAGCTTCTTCCTTGTTACAGTCCATTGTGATATAAGAATGAAAGAGTGCACTATAGATTCTTCATGCAAGAAGTTTGAACCAGATAAATTTATGCTTCTTGTTCATGTTTGCCTTTTTTCTTTCAGAAAGTGAGCTGAAATCTATCTGTATGTCTGAACCTTCTATTTCAAATAGTTTCTTTCAGCAAATTAGACCGCTGGATGCAATTGACTGTTGCCCTTAACGATACTTAAAATTATGCAACAAAATTCATTCACCTGCATCATAGAAAAGTATTACTCAAAATTTATAACTTCAAAAGGCAATTGCCAACAGCAAAGATGCACAAAAGAGAGTTGACTAAAGCAATGCATCAAAATAGATCTAATTGAACTCATTAAGGATAACAAAATTTCTGTGTCAGAAAATCACTTACCTGCACCTTAAGCTTTAAAAGGACTTCCGACCAACAAGCTTTTACACCAAACAGGTTATATTCTAATGCATGTTATGGGAAAAAATAAACAGATTTCAACAGCAGTTATTTTTATTTAAAAAAATCTTCCAGTCTTGATGACAAAAAGATTATCTACTGTGATAAGTGCTTCCAATCAACTGCGAGCAAGAAATAAAGCATATATAATAATTTCATTGTATATAGAAAGCAGATATTCAGACTATATTAATGGTCTCAAGAGAGTTTACTACTGCACAGTTTCTGAAGCGATACTCCACTTCTTTTTCCATTAACTTTCTGTCAGCCAACTCTCAGTAGTCTGCATGGCATTCCAAGATGTTTCATCAAATCTTTGTCCCTTTTTATTTCCCCATTAAGCTTTTATGCTCCATCAAATAAAAGTTTGTTGCAGATGTCTCTTCATTGTTAATCTCTATCATCTGTTGCAATCCAATGATTGGGTAACCAAAATTTTCAGGACATAGATACAAGGTATACAGTTTCAAATGATACCGCCCGGTACGTACCAATCCAATAGTAAACCAGTACACGGACTGCTCGCTACTGGGTGGTATATATATATATATATATATATATATATATATATATATATATATATATATATAGGCGGCATCGCCTCGCCTGGGGAGAAGAGAAGCGACATCGCACATTTTTTTTAAAAAATTATATATATATATAGGCAAGAAGAGAGGCAACATTGCCTCGCGTGGGGGAGAAGGGAGGCGACGTCGCCGAAATTTCTTTTTTTTACTTTTCACACATACACACACACACACACATATACCGTTCATATATATATGTATATCGCTTGGTATACAGTATCGTACCGAGAGAAGGTCGAAACTTCGATACGGTATGATATTTCAATCCTTGCATAGATGTAAGTGTTGTTATCCTAAAATTTGATTCAAACAAGAAATTTTCTCAAAATAAAACAGAAACAAATTAGCTAATAGTTCTTAGCAGAAGCTGGCAAAAATTACACAAACATGATCAAAGAAAAGATGGTTCTAGTTAGAAACCAAAGATCATTTAATATGATCAAATTGAAAATACAGACTTCTATAGTATTGTGCAAATATAATATGCCTCATTTAGCGAAGCATTTCATACAAAGTCTACACTTTATAACAAAAAAGAAAGTAAAGATGACGTTGATATAGATGTCAAGATAACAATAAGATGGAGAGTCATAAATGACTGCTTGAAAATTAGCTAACGGTAGTTGCAACTATGAATAAAATAAATTCTCAAGTGCACAATAAAAATACGCTTTATTTGTAAATTAAAGGATAAAAAGGACAATTAGAATAAACAAAAAAGATCTAATGATTTTTGGAACAAGTATGTCGAAAGGATTCATGTAGATAAATCAGTGTTTTTAAAAGAGCTAGGCGCCAAGCTCCCAAAACACCCAAAGTGCTAAGCACTCGCCCGAGAAAATCAAGACACTGTAAACTATTAAAATATAAAAGATATATAATATAATTGATAAATATGATTATATAAATAAAAATGCAACATTAAAGTGAATTTTTTTATGAATTTTCTGTATTGCTTTGTACACTTGCCATTAATCCTAAAACCTAATAATAGTTTTAAATAAATAGAGATTAACAGTGATAAATAGGGACTAATAACAATTCTAAATAGTGATAAACAGTGTTAAATAAGGATTATTAATTCTAAATAAGAATTAGTTCTAAATAGGCAAATAGTTCTAAGGATTAATATCAATTTCAGTTTGTTATATGGTAACAATAGTTTTAATATCAGTTAAGGATTAACAATCCACTGTTAATAGTATTTAATCCACTGTTAACAACAGTCATAACAATAGAGGGGGAAAAAAGGAGACTAATGAAAGGACGTGGGGAGGAAGAGGACGACGATGACGGAGGAACCTTTGAACGGTGGTAGCATTGGCGTTGGAAGCTACGACCAATGACAACAATGATGGAAAAAGTTACGGAAGGCGGCAACAATGACAGAGGAAGTTGCGGATGACGACGTCAAGGGCAAAGGAAGCTTCAAATGTGTTCGTTGTTGGCGAAGGAAGCTACGATCTTGTCCTGCATCAATGGAGGAGTTGCACACAGAGGCAGCGAAGGGAACTACGCACAAGACCTACAGTAGCAAGAGCTTCACACCTATTTGTCGACAGCAAAGCGCCAGACCTGTGTGTCGACGACTTTGGCAATGGTGGGATTAGTGGTGAGTCGAGGTGGTTCCTAAGGTTTATGGGTTGAGCGCTGTGCACAGGGGAGGAGGGTTGTGTTACTGTTACTATTTATTGTGCTTAGGTGGTTCAATTGAACCAAGTTATTGTTCAACCGAACCAAAGTTGACTATCTTATTCGATTGCTCACCTTCAACCGGGCGCTTGCCCGAGGCACCTGGATTTAGGCAAGCGCCCAATGATTGAGCGCCCTGGTGATGTTTCACTGAAGCCCGTCGCCCGACAACTATGCAATGCTAGAGCGCCTAAGCAAGCACCTAAGCATCTTTTTAAAACACTAAGATAAACTCAAATGATTGGGAGCTAAGAGCCATTCTCACAATTTATGTTGTTTGCTTATTTGTCTAAAAACAGAGAAGCCAAAAACATACCCATAGATTTAGATCAAAATCTGGCAGCAGGAAATTCAAAAGTTTGTTATGGCTATTACATTTTCTTGGTAATATTTCACTAGTGATGGTTCAATAGTTTCAATCTCATAGTTTCTCAGTATGAATCCCAAATAACCAATTAGAAAAAAAGGAAACTACTTATGTTTAGTAGAGATGTAAAAAGCTATAGAGTTAATAATATGAATGAATTACCACAAACTCATACGGTCATGGCCTAACAAATTTATACACATTAAAACTCTAGAAGTCCTTTCCACTTGATTTTTTCGGTCACTAGAGAATTCAAAATTATTTTCCTCCATGAATCATCTTAACCATAATTGAAAACCTTCAATCTGCAAGTAAGTCCTCCCACCTAATTTTAGGTGTCATTAAGCATTCAAAACTATTTAATTTCATGAAGTCATCTTAAGTGAAATTGAAAAACATCAGCCCTTAGTTCCGCAGTCACACCCCATAATAGCAAATAACCAAAAGGGAAGGTGACTTCCAATTAGTGCTTCCTTCTCCTGAAAATTAATGACATTGCAAAAGTTTGGGCCTCAGAAATTCAAAAATAAAAGATAGGAGGATGGAAGAAACAAATTTGGCAATCTAAATGGATTAGTAAGTGAAGGGATGTGGAGATAAAATAGGCAACTATTCATTGAATTCTACAATACAGTCATTCAGGAAGCGCCTAAAACAGCAATGCCAATGAGACAGAGAAAAAGTCAATTAATTAAAACGAAGGTTCAATAATCTGATGGTCAGGATCTTTCATGTCAAAACAACTGTCTGAAGATCTGGAAAGTTTCACCAAGGGTTGAGAGTAGCAGCATAAAAAGCTTGGAATTGGACTTAGGAGTGTAAAATATATTGATGAAAGAGACACATAGCCCTGCAAAAGTTTTTTGCAACAGATCATACAAGGTCGACATTTTGCTTCCCACGATACAATAAGAATGTTTACTGCAACCCTTGAAACCAGACTTGCACAAATTGAGGAACCATGATAGCAACAGGACTAATGAGAACAACTTACACGTCTACAATCAAAATCTCCTCTAAATGTACTATAAATTCATCACTACTGCAAATATAAACAGGAGAAAGCAAACGATGGTCAATCACAATGAGTTAAAAGTCCTCAAAAACTAGAACCTTAAAATCTTAAATGACATCAACCAGAAAAATGCTTCAATTCATTGAAAAACAATTCGATCAATTACTATGCACAAGAAAACCCTCCAACAACCATAATACCTCATCTTGGTAAATACAAATATACTACAGAATAGATTTGGCAGAATTGGATTGTTCTTTACAGATTACAACTTGATATGCCAGATTCCAACACCAAACCCAACTAGATAAATTCCACTTGATGGATCTTTTTCAACCAATAAGCTCTTTCTAGAGCAACATCCCTAGTTAAATCAAAAGCCATCAGTTTCTTGTAAAACATCCTCCTTTACTTGTGCTACTAATCCTAATTCAGTCACCTTGTATAACCATGGAATTTGTAAACCTCCCTTGAGCATTCTCTGATCTATTAATGTTTCACCTAATCAATTCACCTTTTTGTACATGTTACCTAACTACCTATCTTTCTGATCCATAACTAGAATATTGTTGTTTGTCACTAGTTAGCATGATAGGTTCCTACAACATGTCTTCATCTTCTAGATTGGTTCAATAGAATTGCCACATAGATATCAGGTGAATATTAAAAGGCTCCCTGTAAAATTATCCATATGTCAATAAATCAATCAAATTATTCAGGGGAAAATCGGTTGTCTTCAGCAAAAGTTGGAATTAACTCCAAAGCACCAGACATTGGAAGTTCTGTTAGTCTTTGGATAATTAAGTCTGAGATGCATATTACAGAAAGCCTAACAACCTTATTGACATTGGAACATATGAAAACATGACATTTTAAGATTTGTCACGGTCTGGGAACTATATCATACAAACTATGCATTTCAGTGAAAATCCATTAAATCACTGCATACATGAACTTAAAGAATTATGCATCTTGTATATTTCTTAAATTCACAATCTAAATCTAACTTCTGGTTATCTTTTGGGAGCATCAATAAACACCTTATGGAAAATCTAATATCCTAAATTTAGCATCCAAATCAAGAATAAGATGATAAAACAAAATATCACACACACATCAGGGAATCATAAGTTCTCAATATACCCAAGTCTCTTCGGAAGACATTCTAGAAAAGATGCATACATAAACAAGTAATTATAATGGTAGTAGCCAAACAGCATATTGGCGCAAACACAAAAACAAAACTTGAAAACTTAATATTTATTTATTTTTCTCATAAAAGTCATGATGTCTAGATACATTAAATTTGCTGTTCTCTGACGTTGTACTTCAACTTTGGATGTCACATAAATTAGATAATGGTCATGCATAGAACTCAAGGTAGTATGTCTTCCTAAAGTGTAAGAGGCTTACTAGCAGAAAAAAGTGAACAAGATCACTAGGAGCGCAGAAAGACTTTGGAAACCATAGTCTTATGGTCATAAAAATTGTCGTTTCTGCCTGATCAAAGGTACCAAACAAAACAGCACAACCACCTTAAGGACAGTGACATTCAGCAAATACTATCATCTCATGGGCTAAGCACATCCGTGAATAGCATACAGGCACCTAAAAGCGGACTGATGACAACATAACAACTAATAACAAGGCGAATCCCCAAATTCACTTCTCGATGGTCCAAGCTTCATGATGCACAACTGAATATTGAAAATGCCAATGTAGCTCCTATTGCAAATTAGATGAAGTTACTCTGCAGAATGAATGCATGCATATGCATATTTGCACATAAATAGCCATCGAGCATACGGTCGTGATTTCGACGGACCAGTCAAAAGAAGCAGAATATCTCTACTTAATGGGAAAAAACGTACTGCTCTAAGAACAACTATCTTCCCTAATTCGATGATGAAACAAATAAAGGTAGCAAAGGAGAAAGGGGAAAACGCAATCAGACTAACGATCTCAGCTCCATCGAAGAAACGAGTGACGAAACCAAATCCCACCAAATGGAACGAGCGAAGAACGAAACCCTAAATAAATTCGGTTTCTTCATTTTCCAACCCTAAATAAATTCTTACCAAAGGGCCGAAATATCCAACCCCAGGCACTAGATGATCTGCGCTGCAGCGAAGAAGGCGCTACTTCGCAGCCGGCCAAGTGACCAGGAGACGGAAACTAAAAGAGGGATGCGGCAGAGAGATCGAGAAATTCCTGACCGGAGACTTGCGGGAGGTCGGGGACGCCCGCAAGGGTGAACTTCCGCGGCGGATGGAGGCGCCGCAGCCGCCCTCACTCGGAACCCTAAAGCGGGCAGCAGTAGCGAGGAGCGAGAGGGAGATATCTCGGGAGAACCGAAAACAAAATTTGCCCGGCAACGGTGTGAGTAAACGCAGCGGAACCCAAAAAGGAGCGAGGGGAGTGGGGGGGAACAGCGTGGCCGCATCCTGTCGTAGTGCGGCGTGAAATTTGCACCGTCGGATGCGAGATTCGATGCACGGTACTGCGTTCGGATCCGCGACTACTGAGTCAAGCGGCAGAGCGTCTTCGACCGAGCCGTGTGTGGGCGGGGAAAGACAAAACGACGATGGACGGTCGGGATCAAACCCAAGCACTCCGTTTCGTGGCATGTAGTATGTACATTGGAGGATTTGGTGAGGTAGGAGATCAAGTTCCCGTGGGTCATGATGTGATGAGAAATAATAGACTGTGAAATATGGATTGGTGGCTACTTTGATGTGCTTCAATTGTCTTATGAGTTCGAATCAAATTTGGTCAGCTAGAAATTAAGTAATTTTCATTAGTGTGACATTAAGAACAATTTCCTTTTTTCATAGATTGATGTTCTATTTAGATCTTATGATGGATTCAAAAAACATATCGCCTCCTACAGAGAATTGAGAATTGGATTAAGCTCGACTATGAATTAGAGGTCGGTATGAATTTTATCACCATAATAAATATTTTTTATATATATTTTTTTGTGTCTATCGAAATATGTTTTATATTTTATATTTTTATTTGTATTTACAGAGACTAAAATTAAAAATCGAGGGGTCACCGTGCATTTGCATTTATAATTTAAAAGTATAAATAATCTTTATAGTAAATTATATAATTATTATTAAAATAAATGCTAATATGATAAAGTAAAAAAGGCAAATTTTTGAATGAAACTTTTATTTTTTAAAATTTTCCACAAAACACTTCTACTTAAAAAAAAAATTAAAACAATATGTCTAGTCTTCTGAAAAATATCATTTTACATCTTTCTTCGTTGGACCCATCATCGCTGGTATAACCCATGAGGGTCATCTCCGTTAATCCTACCTATGTGACTTCTAAGGAAATCAAAGTTAATTTTAACTTATATTCATTTCAAAACCTATAAATTAATAATCCTAATTACGGGCGATTCATTCTACTATTTCTCATTATTTTGTAAGGATTTCTACTATTAACACTTGTTTTTTTACTGAATTATTTGAATCGAAGCTTTGGGATACAGTAAATTATCATTGTATGTTTTGCTCCTGACCCTCATACGAGATGGCAAAGGCATGTATCCCTCTCCTCCTTTTCTTACGGTAAAAAATAATGTCTATGGGCAAAGGAAGAGACTGAGTCTATAAGTAATGATAAGAATTACGGATAAGTAAAAGGGGATGGATCTATGAACAATGATGATAAATACTACATATGATAAATAAAAAACTTTTGCACAAAGATTACAAGTGGATATTTAGGGTAAAGAGAGACAACTAATGGGGTAGAGGCACAACCAAATGAGTGGAAGCCGATAACCGATAAAAGTAAAAGGGTCATTTTGAAAATAATATTATTTATAATTTTTTAAGTACGAGAGATATTTTAAAAAATAGATATAATTTTAAAAATTTTACCCAACTTAAAATATGCCAAGTTACTATGCATTTGTATTTATAATTGAAAAGCATAAATAATCTTTACGGTAAAAATACATAATTGTTCTTAAAATAAATGATAAAACGATAAAGTAGAAAAATGCTAATTGACCTTAAAATAAATGATAAAAATTATAATGTAGAAAAATGCGCATGTGGGAAACCAAACTTCGATCACTAACGTGGAAGGGATTTGTAGAAGCATCTAAATAGCATACATAATAAGACTTAACTTGAAAGCTTTATCTCGATGAGATTTTATCTCAGAATTATGCTGAAATATTAAGTGAAACTTGGAGTCACTTAATAGCATAATAGGATATTGGTTTAAGAGTCTTAGTTAAGATAAACATTTCTATGGTAATTGGAGTCAAAATTTTAAATTTATTTTTCTAAATAAAAGACCAACGTAATGCTTAATATATATATATATATATATATATATATATATATATATATATATATATATATATATATATATATATATATATATATATATTTGAGAGGAAAGATAAGAAGCCAAAAAATTAAGAGATTTATTAGGGATTATGAATTTTGATGTTTAATATAAGTTTTTAGTTTTTGAGGTGTTTTTCTATTCTATTATTATTATTATTATTATTTCATTACTTTAATGAGAGATTTTTCAACAAATTTATATTATGAAATCACCAGCATAATCACAAGCTGAAATATGGTGGAGGAATATTTACTTAGATATTGTATTGATAATTTTAGGATAGAGTCTACATGGTATCATGACAAGACTACCTTTTAACTCTATATCTTCCTCCTCAGGTTTCAGTCTTTCCATATCGATGGCTTTGTAGGTGTATCAGAAACATCAGATCATGGAGAATCGACCTATTTTTTGGGCAGCCATGCTTTCCAGAGTTTGCCGTCTTTTTCTTTGCTTATTTGTATACTTTTATCACGTTAATTTGATCCAAAGAAAACGAAATTATTGATAAGTAGATAAGATTTCCTGTTGAGGAAATCTCTAAGCAGTTGAGAAAAATCCTCCATGCTGAATGTATATAACCTCCATGCTAAGTATGTATAAATAGCTATCAAGAGTTCACTATCAAACTAAACTAGACAATTTCATCTTATACATTTCATAATTTTTTTTACAACTTCTATTTTTCTATATTCTTTGTTTAATTTTTATCATGGTATCAGAGCTTTCTTTCTTGCGGATGTAGGTAGCTCTGCCGAAGCCTTCTCTTTTTTGTTCAGTTGGAAAGGACAGTGCTGCTGCTTACCTCTCGTCCGGTGTCGCTGCTTCTTGTTCCGGAGTCGGAGATTGCTCGGCCACCTCCTACCCTCACAAGAACCTCGCCTACATTACCGGCAAGCGACCTCTCCTCGTTCCCACATCTCACTCGAGCGAGAAGTGCTGCTGTCGCCATCCTTACCGCCACAGCCATCACTGCCTTCCTGCGGCAATAGGAACGATTGCAGTTTTTACAGCTTCCATCTGCAACCGCTTCCCTCTGCCGCAACAATTTCTCTATAACTGTAACTACTGCAGATTTTTTCTTGCTCATCGCTATAGTCTCCTCTATAGTGCATCGCTGCAGCCTCCTCTGCAGTGCATCGCTGCAGCCTCCTATGTAGTATCGCTGCAGCCTCCTTTGCATCGCATCGATCTGCTTTTCTCCTCCTCCATCCCTCTTATATCTTTACATCTTTTGTAAAGATCACTTAAATCGCCACAAAATATCTGGGATATCTTCATTTTCCTCTTCCGATATTCCTGTCCCTGTTTCTACAAGGACTCTGAGCACTTCTCAAAATCTTATCACCATCAATGTTGTAGCACTTATTTCTTTCAAATTATCCAAAGGCGACAATTATGCATCTTGGCGAGCATAACTTTCTAATATTTTATTTGGCTATGATCTCCTAGGTTACGTTGATGGCTATCTCCAGTGTCCACCTGAAATGATTAACATCTCAGGTGAACCCAATCCAGTGCCAAATCCAGCCCATAAACTATGGTTACGTCAAGATCGCCTCATCTTCCAAGCTATTCAAGCTTCCGTTGTTGGATTCATTGCCCCGCTGATATCCTCATGTACGACTGCTGCAGAAGCATGATGCAAGTTACAAACAACTTTGGCAAATCGCTCGCGTATTTGCATGCTCGGACTTCTCTCTAATCTGATGAAAACGAAACAAGAGGGAAGTACTATTGCTGATTATCTACAACATATCAAAGTTATCATCGATGATTTTGCTTTGATAGGTCATTCTCTTAGTGATGAAGAAGTCCTAATTCATACCCTCAATGGCCTAGGAGGCGAGTACAAAGAACTGTCAGCAGCACTTCGGGCACGTGACTCACCAATATCATTCGAAGAACTTTATGATAAGTTGATCGATTATGAGACGTACTTGAAGTGTGATGATAGGTTGCCCGGACTATGAGACGTACTTGAAGCGTGATGATAGGTTGCCCGGACCACCTATTACAGCTCAGGTCAATCAAAAATCCAAGAGGAAGAGCAACCAGTACACTAAGCACGTCAACAACGATTTGGCTAAGTTGCCTCCTAGCCTTATGGGGCCCAGACCAAACCCCCCTTATCCATATCAAGGTGGTAACTTTCAGCCGTCACGTCCTGACTTCACAAGCCACCAACGAGTCGTTTGCCAACTATATGATAAAGTCGGACATTCTGTAAAAGTCTGTCGGTCTCGCCCTAGACTCCCTACTCCATCACAGTGGCCTCAAGCGAATTTCATGGCTACTCCAACTCCTACCCAACCCAATTGGATTGTGGACTCGGGCACCTCTCATCACATCACCTATAATCTTCAAAACTTGTCCATCCACAACAACTATGACGGAAATGAAGATATCATCATCGGTGACGGTAAATGAATTCCTATTACTCATTCTGGTTCCTCAACGCTTAGTTCACTTACCACAACTTTTACACTCGATGATGTTCTGTGTGCACCTAACATTAAAAGAAACATCATTTCCGTTTCTCAATTCTGTAAAAAAAATAATACCTCAATTAAATTCTTCCCTAACTTTTTTCTTGTTAAGGATTTGAGCACGGGGGCATCCTTAGTCTAAGGCCAGAACAAAGACAACATTTATGAGTGGTCATCCGCTTCGCAAATTACCCTTCCTACTGCTCACTCTTCAGTCGCAGCTCCAGTTGATGTATGGCATCGTCGTCTTGGTCATCCCTCCCCTTTTATCCAGCAAAAATTACTTTCTCGTTATTCTCTTCCTACCTTGAAAATCAATAACATTGTCAATCATTGCGATGCTTGTCTTTGCAATAAAAGTCATAAACTGCCTTTTGGGACAACCTTCATTTCTTGCTCTAAACCATTTGAAATCATTTATACCGACGTGTGGGGCCTTGCCCCAATTCTTTCTTTTGACAAGTTTCGCTTTTATGTCATTTTTGTAGACTATTTTACTAAGTACATATGGTTATATCCTCTCCACCA